CCTTTGTAGAAACATTCATTTGAAATAAAACGTCCAACGTTGCATTTGTATGACGTTATCATCTCTATAAAATGGAATTTTTCTCCTCTTCGCGAGGAAGAAAGAGAGAAATGAAAAAACAGGAGAATTTGACACAGTTCTGCAATTAGTACACTGAACCCGGCAATTATGCGTCTCGGGCCGCGGAAGTTGTATACTCATTTCTGCTCGTTACACAGTTATCCAGTTCTTTCTCGTCATTATCCTCGGGCACGTTGCACGCGCATTACACGAGTAACAAGCTGCTTAACGAATGAACCACCGTGAAACAAAATTCTAGCTATGTACGTGTGTACGTGCATGTATCGTTGACGTGGTGCCATCAGAGCTAGCGGATCGACTAGGAAACTAATCTCGGAGCCGATGGCCATCGGAAGGCGGAAGGGATCCAGGATCCAGGTGGTCGAGAAACAATATCGCACGATATTACTAGCTGACGCGTCGTAGAATATATTAGATCCGGTCCAATTACAATGTCCCGATACATTCTATCCCACGTAAGCTGTTTTCGTAGACTACGGCTACTCTCTGTCTCTCTCGCTCTCCACGAAATGGAAAACGCGTTTACGTTCTAAGCCAGGGGCTTAATATAAGCCGTTGACCGGCTTCAGTAGTGATTTCGATGTTACGATAACCAGAGAGACGGAGAGAAGGGGATACATCGAGCGAAGTGATCCTCGATCGATTTTCCTCGACGATCTCTCCGACTCACGGAGATTAGGTCAGGGATCAGAGAAACGGGCCAGCCTGGCGTACAAGAGACGGTAGCAAGCGACCGTATCCAAGTGATGAGATGATTGGCTCGCTAATGAAACCTGATAGAGAACCTCGCCACGACTGCCTCGTTGTGGATTATTTTGTTGTGTGACGCGATGGATCGTGCTCCGGTGATCCTCTATACACTTCCGACTACCTTTCCCATTGTCGTCGTCGTCGTCGTCGTCCTTCCTATAGTTGGCGGCTGAAAAGGTCGCCACCGTTGGGACGTTACGGAGGCAAGAAGGTCATTCACGAGGGAAGGTCTTCAAACTCGGAAATTTAGATAGTCACGAGGCATTTATAGATACGTTAAGCGGATATGTATTACGGAATTTTTTTCTTTTTTCCACTCCAAAACTGGCTGAAAACTTTTGTCTCTCGACAGGAAGATATATTTCAAGGCAAAAGTTGTGAATTGTTTATACGTACGATTAAAAAAAAACTGTGAACAACTAGGGCCAGTTGCAGTCAACCACAATCTTTTTAGCTTTCAACTTGCTCCCTATTCTGCATTATCCCAATCCAGATGAAAGATTCGCAGGTCGTGTACATTGTATGTACTAGTTCTCTTTTTTTAGTGTAAAGAGACATGACGGATTTAAGATAAGCAAGATAATACGTAAGCAAGTTGAATGGCGGATATAGTTGGGGTTCGAGAACGTTTGTTGGGCTAGAAGGTGTAGTTAGAAGATCGAGTGTCTTCCTTTGTTGAGGAGATTCTTTGTGGAATTCTATCGTGACATTCTATCTTTATAGTGTGATGTTATCGATTTATACGTTGAATTAATTTACCTCGAATTTGAAAGGGGAGCTTGTACAAAAGTAATGAAGTTTTTCCATAATATCTTGTAAAAATTTTCATCAAATTTAAATAAAATTTCTATTAATTTCTACCATCTCTTATACTCAGTTAAAATATTACTTCTTAAAATTAAAATTTAATTTAAATTGAGATTAAAATTGTAACTCGTGATACAATATCTTTGCTTCATCCTATCACAAAACTATCGCAAATTTCCATTAAATTTAAATAAAATTTCTACCAGTTTCTACTGAAAAATTCTTATCATTTCTTAGTTTCCAGTTAAAGTATTCTTTAAGTTAAAATCGGCTTAAATATTTAAAGTAAAATTCGAAGATAACCTGAACAATACGCGAAATTTATTGCCTCGAAACATGACCGATTAATTAATCGTTTCGCTCCTCTCGATACGAAGAACGTAAAAAATGGCCAGGACAAATGGCGCCGTCGTACGAAGCCGGTCGGTCTCATACTTGCCGCGATTTTTCCGCCAAGAGCCGACCGGTCGTCGAGAAAAATCACATCCTTATCTGAGAAATAGACGGCCATAAAGAATCGGAGGAATCGGCGCGAGATAGGGTGAGATCACCTGGTATAAGTTGACTCGGTATCGCGATGTCGGGCTTGTCGACAAAGTGGCGAGTGATAAAACGCGCGACAGATCGCACCCTCGACGCGAGGAATCGGTCGTGGAAGAAATATCGCGTTTGTTTTCCCCTCTCGGGTTATCCCGGATCTTCGTCCGCACCGTTCGATAAAACGTTTTCACGCTACATTGTCTCTAATGGCGGCTCGTTCAATTTCGAGGCTGACCTGCTTTCCGTGATTTTTTTTTTTTTTCCTTTTTTGCACGCGAATTTCGGTTCGCCTAGTTTCCTTTTGCATGTGCTTTTCGTCACTCTTTGAAGCTTGTAATTAAAGCGTGCGTTATAAGTTGAACGATAGTTTCATCGATAGTGTATTGACTTGAGTAACACTGGACTACGAAGTTCGACGAAATAACAGATTTTTTTATTGTTTTGGCGACATATACTTTCATATGTTACAATCAATATTATATCTATTATACTATTATAATATTCTGTTATATACTATAGTACATTTAGTTATAAATTTAATAGGTGATGGTTATTAATCATGATAAAAAATTGTCAAATACAAAGATCACTAATTTTTAATATGTATAAAAATATCAATTTTAAGCTTTCTTGTATCTATTTTTTCAAAATATGTTATTTTATAACTAAAATAGATGTAACTATTTATATTGTAGGTTGGTAGTTCAAATGTTAAGTACTCTGAGAAAAGTGTAACTAATGAGATCTTGACGATTTTTATAAATATTTAAAAAAAAAACACAATACTATCATTATACTATCTACACGCCAATTGTAAATACATTTTCTACCAAGAACAAGTTCCTACGAATATAGTAAATGAGTTTTATTCACTTTCTATCAACCTACTAAGAAGAAAGGAAAGGACAGATCCAACATACTACAGAAGGAAACATTACAATTGTTTGAGATTGTCAAATTAACTTTCTAGCTACTCACGTTCACATCTCGGCGATGGTCGATATTTTTCTCGGCCAGGGCTCGGCAACTGATTTTCCCCCGACGTCAGCCGCGTTCTTCTTTTTTCGCTGAAAGTTTTCTGGTTTTCAGTATAAGGATCCGAGTAGAGGGCAAGGAAGAAAGAAAGAAAGAAAGAAAGAAAGAAAGAAGGAGACAGGGAAAAAGGGTGGAAGAGAGGCTGAGAGAGACAAGGAGAGAGGCAACAGCCGTTTGAACATCAACAGCTGCATCGCAGCCCGCCCCAGCTAGCCGCCTCCTCTATTTGCTCCTCTTACATTCTTCGTGGAATAGTTTGGTCTCGCCGCGGATATACACACCGACTACGCCCAGAGAGAACGAAAGAGATTAAGAATATCTTTCTCGGGGTGTTCGGTGGCTACCGAAACGAACTGTTTCCTTCCTACGGTCGTCTCGTTACCGCGAACAACACCAGCCAGACGGTGCCTCGTACGACTAGAGCACCACTGCGCGTCGAATGAGAAAAAAAATCCGTGTCGATCTTTGAACCCCGACTGAGAGAAACTCTCGGATGCTTGAACGAACGTTGGAATTGTAAGACTCGTCGAGATAACGCGATGTCGTTCGTAATTTAGGAAATTATATCAGTAATATCATTATTGTGATGACGAAACTATGCACGAGAATTGTGCAGGCTCGTTCTTCAAATGAAAAGTAAATGATTTGACACCTTAGAATACTTGAAAATCTGGATTAGCTTTGAGTCTTGATACTCTTAATTAGTCTTCGTAAATGATAAATATTTCACGAACTTCTGCACTGTTTTGTCGCAAGTATTATAAAAAGTTTGAAGTATGCGATGTATTTTCATTTGTATATATTACTCGTGTTTATAGTACATATTTAAAAATATTACAATTAATATATTGTAAAATATTGAATACTCTACAACATCTGTCATCTGTCAGGACTTTCAAAACTGTCGAGATTTACAAGACTCTCGAGACTCACTTTAGAGAGATTAAACTTTAATCTGTTACGTAAAATACGTTTATCAACAATGAATAATTTTTATGAAATTTTTCTATTATATCTTTATATCCATTTTTCATTTATTAAGGTATCGAATCATCGCTTACTAATATGCAACGATTCGAAGCTACTTCATAACTCCTCGTTAATTACAAACGTATGCTGTAAGATTCATGTTTGGAGACGTCGAGAATGTGTAATAAATTCGACAGGTTTCGAAGACTTTGATCGTGAAAGTTGCCCGAAATATTCAAACTGTGACAAAATCCGTGAAAGGAAAGCAATGGTGCTGACGATGGCTGCGGGATTGGCCCAAGGGGAAGATGTCACGAGCGTAAAACGTTTGCGAGATTCGTAATTGCAAGCTTTCCTATGGGAAAAACAAACTTATGAACTCCGGCCGAATGTAAGACAGCTAATACCGGTTCGTAGTTGCAAGGTTTTCTCGCGAGAGAAAGAGAGCGAGAGACAAAGTTAGGGACGTATAATGGATGACCATATCGTCGCGAGGAAAATGTGAATTTTCTTAAAACGTACGATCCCTTTTTACGTTTTTGGCAACTGAACGAGGGAAAGAGATTCGAGGAAGGGAGAGCTTTCCATAACAACTCTAATTCTCATAGATTATCCAACGTGGCCGCGTTTCCTCGAGATTAATTTCTGATGGGATGGTTAAGGATATTGCGGCAGGTCTCGAGAGAACTGGTACTTGGGAATTACCGAAGCCTGGATATCGCATCCTGCTAACATAATTCCACGAACCACGTGGAAGGCAGGTTCCGAAGAGGAGAGAGCGTAATTGGCTGTTCCGGATCGAATGAAAGACAGACGAGGAATGTGAAATACTCCTTTAATAATACCTGACGAAGCAAATATATATATAAATCTATAATACATCCGCGTCTCGGAGCCGGTCGTTAAATAAAACTCGTCTCTCGTCGCTCGTCTAACGAACCATACCGGTTCAATCCACACGAACGAAGAGCACAAGTTACGACGTAACCTGAACGGAGGAACAGGTTCATCCTTCCCGTCAATTTCCCTATTTTTCTTCCTTTCTTTTGCCTTTTCTTTTATACAAAAACTTCTTATAAACTAGCATCGTAAAAAGTGTTCTTACATATCTCTGGCACTTTGTTCTGGCTGTTTCTTCCTTCTCCACGAAACTCTCGGACTGACACGCTCGGACACCAGGCACAAATTCATCGTTGCTGCGACGAACGATCATTATTAGGAAACACAACGCAACGAGAAGGAGAAAGAGAGAGAGAGAGAGAGAGAGAGCACGATTCACTTGGTGGTAGCGTTGCCACTCTCACGCACTTATCACAGACAATCGACGACGGGCGTTTGTTATGCCCTCGCCATGCTCGCGGAGTCTTGGTCGGGTTTGGTGGGTAGCGGCCTGTTGGCCATTTTCCCCGCCGGAGTCGACGTTTGAGGTTCCGGTAGTTCCGAGTACAGGTGGGCAGTCGCGTCGGAAGGCTCCGCGTACTCGCAGAGCAAAGAATTGGGCCTTTTCTTGTTGTTCGACTTGGAACCACCGAGAATACTCTCACCGAGAGCCTTCAGGAAACTCATCGGTCTACCGGGATTTCTGGAGGCTTCGAACTTTGGGCTGTCCGGAGGCCGATGATTCTCAGTCTTCGGGCAACTAAACATCTGATTCGAGTGGTCGTTGATCAGCAGGTGGTCGTTCACGACGTCCGGTGGCAGTGGTTGTGGCGCTCTTCCAGCCAAGGTCGCCAAGATTGGTTGAGACAGTCGACTGGTACTGGGAACGGTCTCGTCGCCAGGTAACTCAGCGTACAGATGATTCTGCTCGCTTGGTTTTTGATCGCGAGGCTCTGTATACTCGGTCAGTGGTGGTCTTGGTTGTATCGCGCTCGGCAATAGTTTCTCCAACGACGGCGCTTTCGTGCCAACGCTGACGGATGGCTTTGGCGCACCCCTGAGTCTCCTCTGCCTCGGTTGAATCACGTCGTACGCGTTCTCCTCCCTGCCCGACGGTTGCCTGTCGTTGTTGTTGTTACAGCTCTCCTCCACTTTGATCAGATCGTACAGATGCTCGATCATGTCTCTCGCTTGATTGTAGTTGTCAGGATCGTTCAATCTCTCTCGGAGGTCCCTTAGGTACTCCTCCGTCAACTCTTCGGGCAACGTTTGCGTGGCCTTGTTCTCGGTGTATGGATACAACCCTTCGACGTCTTCCTCGTATTCCTCTGTCGCCTCTGCTTGAGTTTCCACCTCCAGAATCCGCGTCTCTGGTTGAAGACCCGCGTACTCGTGCACGCTTAACCTGGATATCGATCTGGCAGACGTGGCAGCGGTCATTCCGCTACTGGGTGACAACCAGCTGGTCAGATTCATCAGATGACCGGACGTTAACTTTGGGCAGACACCGCTTCGACGCATGTATAGAATCCCAGAGGCGAGGATGACCACCAGCACGACGAACACTGCCACTACACAGATCACTACGATGATTCTCTTCTCGCGTTGCAATTGCTCCGAGTCGCTCATCTCCACGTCGAAGTAACCCTTGTGCCTTGGATAGACGTGCGGGCCGACGCTCGGTGGACTGACGCTTGGCTCCGGCTTGGCAGATGGCTTTTCGCAGACGATGTGACCGCCAGGTCCGCAGATGATCTTGGTGAAATTTCTCATAGACATGTAGCCTTGTGGAAGGTTGAAGCACCTGTCGAGAAGCTGGTCGACCACGCAGTAGCTCGAATCCATCATCCACGAAACGGAGCTGTTCTTGCCCGTCACTTCTCGTATCCAACCGTCCAGGCCGCATCTACACTTCTCCTTGAAGTAATTATTGCCAACCCTGGCGGTGTTCACTCGCTGCGAGATCGCGGCGAATTTCAGCGAGCCCGGCCTCGCCCTCTCTATGTGATTCCCCGTGAACGAGAACTCGAAATTCGGCGCCGACGTGGCGTCCACCTCCGCGGTAATCGCGTCCGTCTCCAAATCGACGAACAGATTGTAGTCGATGGCTATGTGGTTCCACTGGTGCAGAACGATCGCGCCCTGGTGCAGGCTCAGGAACTCGTTGTTGTTGAAGCTGACCGTCGCGGCGGATATGTCGATGGCGCCGGTCTCCACTTCGGAGAGCCTGTGAACGCGAGAAGGAAAAAATACTTCGTATTGAACTTTGCATGTTACAGGAACTTTCTTCCTTCGAAGGAGGAAGTTTGAGTATCAACCGCGATGGGAAATGTGGATCATCTCAGTACTCAGTTACGGACATTTAACCCCTGTCAATTCTGCTACAATATGAAAGAATTTTTGAAAGATTGTATTGTTTATTAATCTTGGTATTTTTTTTAACTTGGTCGTCAAGAGAGTTTTATAACTTTCATTTCGTCTATATGCATACGTAGTCGTTTGCATATAGACGCTTCTAACTCCATTTTCCAAAAAATCGTAAATTTGTAGAGTAAAGAATCGCATCTCGAGCAGGGGACGACGTAATTAATATTGCCCTTTGGTAACAAAGTAAACGCGAGACGCCAACGAGACGGGATAAATATTCGAAACGAAAGAAATATCACGTTATCCCGCTCAAAGGAAGAAATTAATTAATATAATGGAATTATACCGGCGGTATTGTTTTTAACGTTTGAGAAACCTCGGCGTTCCTTAACTGCGAACGCACAGCAGAGCAGCTAGAGTGAACCGGGCTTAACAGTCGCGAAGAGGAGGAGCACAAACACAATACGCCTGATCAAACAGCAGGCAAGAGACAAAGGGAAACGAGCGGATTTACCTTGAATATTGTATCGTAAGGTTGTCGTGGCCAGCCCGGAAGGCTCCTCTCTCTATGCTCTTCAATCTAACGTCGACGAACTCCAAGCTCTGGATCAACGCTCTGTCGCTGAACGCACCGGTCTCGATCTCCAGGATCGACGCGTTGCTTATGGTCACGCTGAAGATGGTCATCGCGCAGAACGCGTTCTTGCGGATCACCTTTGTCCAGATGTCGTCCATCCGGACTTCCGCTACCGCTGATGGAAACACCGCTGTCGGCAACTCCGTGATTCTCACACTTTGGAACATAATCTGCGCCGGACAAATCGTGGAAATCGTGATTACAGCGATATCGTACGGAGCTGCTGGACGTGCTGGAATATCGTCAATTCCTGCTCGAACTGTTGTATTCGAGTGTTTCCACGTTTATCACGGAACGCGGGTTTGTGTTATTACTGGACTGCGGATATTATTTTTTGAACGTAACTGGAGATCCCAAATAGATATTTCTCGTATCTAACGTTCGATAAATGCATTTTGTACGTTTTGTAGATTTCCGAGGTTGTAAATTTTTTACAAGGATACATAAACACTCGCAGTTTAATTGCACCGGGAGTAAATTTTGTCAGGGGATTCCATTCTATTTTACAAACGTAACTGCGACGTGTTGGACTCACAATCAATTGAAAATTAATTTTATAAGTTTGAATTTCTTGTTGATTATTATAGTAGAATGTTTGACAAATTTACCCGACATGTAAATGTGCAATATTGTTACTTTTTCGACTTATTAATTTATGGATCAATATGATTTTTCACTAACTTCCTATGCAGTAATGAGTAAAAGACAGTAATGAGTATCCAGAAATGTATAAAATACCTACTACGAATATTTTATGGATACTGTTTGGAGTCTTTTTCTTTAAGTATATTCATAAAAATATAAAACTATACACAAAAATGCAAAATCTATTCATTAAGGTGGGTTTTTATACATTTATGAAATATTAAAAACTACGAAATTGCATAAAATGCTTTCTACGATATTTGGAACTTGGAACAGTGTTCTGGCCATTATATTTCTAAAAATCAATTTCTGCTCATTAGAAATCTACGTGTGCATTTGATCGTCTGACCTTGGTCGCTGGTCCATGCCTGCCGTGTTGAGAAGCCTCGAGTTTGAACGCGTTGCTAGCCAGCTCCAGCATCGGCACCTCCCTGATCGTGATCCAGAGTAGCCTGGAGAAAGCGTTCGGTTTGATCCCCACGTTCCTGCATCTCGATATCGAAACGCTCAGCGTTCCTCGCGAATTTCTGAACGCGTGACTCTCTAGGATCACGCTGTTGCACTCAGACACTTCGAGGTGCGTGTTCGGCGCGCTCAGATTCTGGAACGCTTGCCTCTTAGCCACCAGGCTGTAGATCCCTGACACGTGAACCCGTTTCAAAGGCGCGCCATCCGCGAATGCGCCCGACTGGATCCTCAACTCCCTGCAGTGAGAGACCTCCACCTCCATCGCCTCCGATGGAATGGTTCCCTCCAGTAATTCTACGTCCTGACGGCAAAGTACAAGTAAAATTGGTTATTAAACTAATACGGCTAAAAAGTTTCTAGAGAGGGAAATTTTCCTATGCACAATATTACGTTTACGTTTAAATAAATTCCTTTAAAAATTTATTTTAACGTGATAAATTCCAATTAAATTTCACTGTTTAACGTTTTAAGTAACATTAAGTTCAACGTAATATTTTATACTACAATTGTACTGGATAATTGGATGCAAGAAAACTCCAGTGGAAATGTTACGTTTAAAAGCTAAAGATCTTTTACACGTAGTGAAGTTGTTGCAAGAATATTTGTAATATTACAAAATTTTATGTTTCTTCTGAACAGTTTTATTAACACGATCTAAGGATATATCGACATAGAAGTTCAACGTGCGTTTTATTCGAAAAAGGCGCCTCAGGACGCTGAGGCACTTTCTGCATCCAGTGGTACAATTATTAAACAATGAAATAAAATAATAAAACAATAAAAGTAAAAAGTGAAAAATGATCTGTTAATCTGGTAACGGAGGAGGTACTTTAATCCTTAGACCAGATTCGTATGATTGTAAAAAACGTTAGGGACTCTGTCGATTCTCCGTGTTGTACGGAGTATTTTGAAAATTTATACCTGAGTCAGGAAAGGTAGAAACACAGTTACAATGGGAATGAATGACGTGAGTTATCGCGGGTAGGTTTATCCTCGATATAAATCATGTTTCTCTATGAATCGTGGTCGAGAGCTGACTGATGATGCATAAATATGTATGGTATACCAGCCTGCGAGTGGACTATAACAGGGAGCTTCGTGAGCAGAGGTAGTTGCCTCTCATTTAACCCTCGAATAATATCTTTGGGTTATATACCGTAATAATTTGTTGGATTACTAAACATTAGAATATTTGATTTGATTTTATGTATTTATATTTATGCGATGTATATTTTATATACAGATATAGATGCTTGTATATTCTTGGAAAATTTTTAAGGTTACAAAAATCTGCAAACTGCGTACGATATCTAAACTAGAGCACTTATTACAATGCAGATGAAACTCAGATTCCATTTCTTTAATTACATTGACGAAAGCGCAAGATTCCATAAACATCTGCAGTCTACTAATGGAATTCATTTAAATAAGAAACTCCAAAGATGATCAATTTAATTTTGTATTATTATGGTTCCCATTGGTCTAACGATATTGGTCTGCTTTAATTAAGAGTTAGTACCTTTTTCTTTTTTTCAAACGCAATTAACACGTTTGAAGAAGAAAAGAATTTATCGAGCAACGGGCAATCAGGGTTTGTATGTCGTTCAAGAACTTAACGAGTGAAATTTAGGTGACCCGTGATTGGCCTCGTCAAAGAGATAGGCTGGGAATATTTCCATTTTCATTGGCATTACAGATGGCGATGGTATCCGCGCGACGGAAAGAGAAGAGTTCAATTTCAGATCTCATAAAATTTATGTAATTGCAAATATGCTCTCGATGGGATTCTTCCACTTTCGGTGGTAATTTCGTAACGATGAAAAGAGAAGCGACGAGAGAGCGATGGGGTGGGTGGAGGTGGACAGAAGGGGGATTTTAATAGAGACTCCCGAGAATAATTTCTCGGAATAATTTGCGTGTTACGACTCGGCCGGCGATGAATAATAATCAGATAGTTAAAAATCTCCATAATGAAACGGAAGTGCTTTGGCCCTGTCGCGTTTCAAAATCAACAAGTGAATTTTCTATCGGGCTGAATTACCGCGAGGCAATTGTGAGATAGTAACGACGAAAGAGAGAAAAAAAAAAAGAACAACAACGGCGGGAAAAAAACGGCGAAAGGGACGAGAGACACTCGTCCCCAACTGCATTGAGCGAACGTCGCATGATAATTAATGCCGCGGTTATTAATTAAACAGCCTTGCCGTTCTGGTCTGAAATTCTCTCGATGCTCCATTTGTTTTCTGTATGTGAAATTCAATTACGTATAATTAACGCGTCTTTCTCGTTCTCTCGCGCAAGCGGTATCACGTTATTTTCGAAATTTCGCGAGAAGCTCTACCGAGCTTTACCAAAGGTAGAGATTTTATTAACACGCACTTACACTCACACCGAGTGCCTCACAAATCGCTAACAAACAAAGTGATTTTTCACTTTATGCCTTGATAGATAAAAATTCACGTAAGCGTAACTGAATCTAGCAAAAAATATCAAATAAAAATATAATAAAATATATTGGCTTATAGCACTTTGAATTTATATTGAGTCTACAATTTCAGAAGATTTAAGGTAATAATACTCCATGATCAAGTTAAGAGATGAATATCGAATAACAGAGTCTAGAATACTTCCACGAGAAAATATGTCGAAGTGCCAGTCACTGATTTTAATGAAATACAAGCGTAATATAGGTCTCATAAAAATATCTGACACGAACTTTTTTTTTATCGGCGATTTTTTATCGTCTGTGTTAGAAGGACTCCATTTCTAATGTATCATTTAAACAGATTTTTCATAAAATAAAAATTGTCTCTTAAAAATAGATATTAATTTCATCAATTTACGCAATTAATCATCAACTAATTTCAAGAACTAATTTCAAAACATTTCAAATATGTACATAGCTTTCGCAGTCCGAACTTCGGGAGTTCAACAGTTGTCGATTAGAAAATAAATGTGTATCAAGTATTATTATTATGAAAATTATAATTACATATTTTATATTTCAATCAAAAGTGATTGATACTTCAGTACGTTTCCTCATGGATATCGAGTGAGCCTCTTAGTACTATTTTTTCAGTCGTAGAGGAAAAGGAGATAAAAATGACCAGCCTAAACAAACTCTATCCTCAGTGACTTTTTGTAAATAGTGATGGACGACTATTTGTAAAAAGTATCTTTGTGCAAACAGTTTGACTCATTGTCAGTGTAAGCACAAAAATAGTTAGTCATCCAACAATGAAATAATACAGAAAGAAAGATACGCAGACAGTCTATAGTACTTAAAGATTAAAATTCCCAGAGTGAATAATTCTGTACAATTTTGCCCTTTACAGAACGCTATAAGCTATTGTTCTCGAAAATTTTATATCGATGTTAGACCACATTAATATAGCGTGAACGAGTTCTTGGTTCCTGGAAGATGAATCTATAATGAGATGGAAATGATTCCGCGTGAAAAGTGAATCACACGCTCGAAACGCGTGCGATCACCAGGAATATCCATTTACATCATTAGAATTGCAAGGTTACGTATCCTCTTTCCACGATCAGGTTTTCTTACATAACGAAACGGCGATGATCGATCAATTTATGTCGCTGAAACGACACTTTTACGCATTTTCTTTGAATCAACGGCGACATACGAAATGAAAAACCGGCCTGGAAATTCAAATGTGAAACATTCAGCGCAAGAAATTGAATTACCCCTTGTTCCTCGTTAAACAACGAAACGAGCCAATTGTTTCCTCCTCGTTCTCCAATTACTCGTTCGCGAGGCGTGTTTCAAGTTTATCGTCGAAAACTGTACTCCGTCTATTGAGACTCATAGCAAAGAGTTCTTCTGCTTATTTCTAGTTCCTCGGTTTCGGAACTAAATTTGACGCTAAATAGTAAATATACGAATTGAATTTCGACTAGTTAACGATATCAGGCGCAAATTAACTCTTACCATCGAACGTGAGGGAAATTCAACAATTAACGTAAGGACAAATTGAAAAAAATTGATGAATATTAACATAGGTTGCCGCTGTGGGTTTTGAAAACTCAAGTTCAAATTCAGCGAAAGCCTTAGGGACTTAATTTTTTTAAATTGTCTGACTCAAATAATACATTAACGGATACGGATTCTTTCTACAATGGTTGCAAAGTATCGTCTGTTATAACAGTTGGAACCAAGTGTATTCAATTTCGTATCGTTCAGTATTACAGAAGATTTTATATCACGAAAATGAAACGCAGAGCTTAATGAAAGAACGTTTAGAAACAAAAACCAGTTGTCGGGTCAATTTAAAAATTTATTGTGAACAATCGAAGAATCGAGGCAAAGAAAAAAGACAATTTTTAATTGCTGGTGAACCGCCGATTCAGTTAACTCGCTTGTCATTGACACGCAGACATTCGCGTGAAGTTTGCATTTTCGACATACTAATCGTGTTCTCAGCAAAGGAGAAAGAGAGAGGGAAGGAGCGAAATTGTTGGCCCACGACGAGTTACCTTTAAAAGTACTGCTTCCGCTGACGTCGGCTTCCTGGCTGTTCCCCGCTATCTGCACGTTTGTCAGCGCGCCAGTTTAATGAAACGTTCGGACGCTATGCCAAGCAATAATTCCGTTGTTTCCCGACTTCCCTTCAAGAGTCACGCGTATGAACAATTACAAGAGGGGGACAACAAATCGGAAAAATAAGAGAGGCGATTTCTGACAGAAAAATTCACAGCCAGTAGCTCAAAAGTCTTGAGACAAATTATTAGTTATTCGTTTCAAAGTTGGAGGAATTAAATCGATGCAACAGAGAATCTGTAAATTGGCGATGTCGTATTACAAAGCACACGTGTAATTTAAAAATTTTACTATCTGCTGATAAATATATCGAATACTCGAAATAAAGAGCGTACCGAGATTTTTCTAAAATTCCGAAAGCTCTCCGAAATTTTTACAAATTTTCTAAAACTCTTTCAAAGTTTCCTAAGATCTCCTGAAATATTTCCTGAATTATTTCCGAATTCCCGAAGCGGAAAACGGAATAATACGTCCCTGTCGGTCGTACCTCATTTTTCCTCCAGGATTCTTCTGAACGCGCGCGGCGTCGCGTCGGTGATTTATATTCACACCGTTGCAAAGTTTATCTTTTCGAAAAGACGACCGAGCTCGATAAAGCGAAACAGACAGAGAGGGAAAGGTAAACAGAAAAAAAGAAACAGAAAGGGCGCGCAAAAAATAGAAGGTATCTCGTAACAGTTTGGAAAAGCTTCGGGAACGTTTTCCCACGTGTCGTGCAACGTCGGCTCTGGGAAATTCCTACC